ATATTAGGGAGCCCTCAGATGAACATTCTCTGGGACCACAGCACATATGTAATTTAATTCAACTGTGTACAAGTATCTAAAAGGAAAGACAAGTATCAACCAATCATTAAATGAAAGGAAAAATCAAATTTTTTCTAGTTTTAAAAATTCAACCAGGGGGTAGCATTTTTAAATACCACACAGCTTGCATTATTATCTCCTCTCCTGGAGATGATACACTGAACAGATGAAGTAATACATTTGTGTTGTTATTGGCACACTGTCTGTCTGAGCCCCTGGTTTTAGAAGAGGACAAGGAAGTTGGGATCTGGAAAAGCTGAGCAGCTGCAGGGATGACTATAAGTTGCCTGAGATGGAAACACTGTGTTACTATTCCATACAAATATGAAGAAGGTTACAAAATCTTAGCCATGACACTCCTTTAAAGATTATATCTATCTGAAGTCATATGACACTGTGATTCCCAAAGAATAGCAGAGGTTGATATAAAACATCTTTAGGAAATGTTAAAAATCAAAGTGATAGAAACAGTAAGAAAGGGCAGAAATTAAAGGGGACTATAGTCTCTTTTTCTTACTTTTATGACTATATAAGGATTTTATAAGACATTATGATGTACTACTTAATACCTTGCGTGATATCTAAGAACTCATCTTGAACAATTACTATTTGGTATTTTCTCTGTTCCAGGAAAGAACAATAAACATAATAGAGTGCCTACCCTTGGGAAGCCTATCTATCATAATAAAAGTGTAATATGCAAATTGGCTGAATGATTAAACAGCAGAATGACCGTCCGGACGACCTTCTGGACGACCACGCTATGATATGCACTGGTGCCAGGCCAGCCAAGGCGGGTGTGATGTGATTGGTCAGGGGGCCCTGCCATCGCCCCACAATTGCCCCGCAGAGGAAGGCCCAGGCCACCGGCCAGTAACGCTGTGGTGGGTATGTGGGGCTGGCCAGCGATCGCCCCACAGAGGGAGGCCCAGGCCAGTCAAGTGATCGCACACCACGGCTGTTGTCCACAGAGGGAGGTGACCAGTGGCGGGGGCGGGGGGGGGGGGGGGAGGCAGCGCTGCACAGATGGGAAGCAGTGGCAGTAGCAGGGGCGGAGCCAGCTGCCAGCAGATGGGGGAAGAAAAGCCCCAATAGGCCCTGATCGCCTGCCAGGCCTAGGGACCCTACCTGAAGGGTCCTGGATTGTGAGAGGGCACAGGCCAGGCTGAGGGATACCCTCCCCTGCCCCCATGTGCGAATTTCATGCAACAGGCCTCTAGTACTCTAATAATGAGTTAGGCATTAAAAGATAACTACACAGATAAATATATACTCAATAGAGGTCGGGTACATGAAATTCGTGCACTGGCGGGGGGGGGGGGAGGGTGGTCTCAGCCCAGCCTGCACTCTCTCACAGTCTGAGACCCCTCGCTCCTTACCGCCCACCTGCTCACTGCTCCTTACTGCTCAGCTTGCTGCTCCTCTGCTCCTTAGCACTGCTGTGGAGGCAGAGAGGCTCCTGCCACCGTTGCTGCGCTTGCCAACAGTGAGCCCAAGCCTGGCTTCTGGCTGAGTGGTGCTCTCCCTGTGGAAGGGCACTGACCACCAGGGGGAAGCTCCTGTGTTGAGCGTCTGCCCCCTGGTGATTAGTGTGCATTATAGCGACTGATCATTCTGGTTGTTCTGCTGTAATGGTTGCTTAGGCTTTTATTATTTAGATAATTGTGATAAGTCCCAGGAGGAAGAACACAGGAAGTCATGAGCATAAATAATAAGGGTACCGACTGCAAACTAACAGAAGGTTGTCAGTTAAGGCATCCTTTGAATTAGTAGCATTTATGGAAAGAACTGGTATATTGGAAAAGTTGAGAGAAAGCTAATATTGTCTTCAATTTTACTAATTCTTTCTTCTGCTGTATAAAATCTGGTACTAATCCATCTAATTCTTTTTCAATTCTATAATTTCCATTGCTTCTTTGTTATAGTTTCTTTTATTTTTCTCCTGAGACTCGCCATCTCTTCATGTATTTTATTAATCTTTTCCTTTGGTCTTTATTTTAACCATTAAACAAATATTGTAGATTCCTGAAAAGTTTCAAAAATAGCAGAGAGGTTCCATGTGGCCTTCACCCAATTTCTAACTCCTGGCAACCACTAATCTGTTCTCCATCTTTATAATTTTATTTCAGGAGTGTTAGATAAATAGAACCATACAATATGTAATCATTTAATACTCAGCATAATCCCCTTGAGAGCTATCCAAGTTGATGCATGTATCAATAGTCCATTATTTTTATATTATATATATTATAATATATTTTTATATTATATATATTATACTAGAGAGGGAGGAAAGGAGAGCGAGCAGGAGGGAGAGGGAGAGAAAGAGAGAGAGAGAAACATTGATGTGAGAATAAACATCAATTATTTGCCTCCCGTACATATCCTGACTAAGGATTGAATCTGCAACCTAGAAATGTGCCCTGACCAGGAATTGATCCCACAACCTTTTTGGTGTATAGGAGGATGCTGCAACCAACTGACCCAGCAAGCTTAGCTAGATGGGAACATTTAAATTATTTATTAGCTAGTCAGTAAGTTCTCTTCAGAGCAATATATATTACCTGTATACATCTAGATATGATGATATATTAAGTTTTTTTCCTGTCTTTATTTTTCCCTTAGCACCTTAGAAAATTCTCATATCCTGGTCTGGAATCATGGCAAATGCTCCACAAAACTGGTTAAAATTTGTTTTATAATCTTTTTATTTTATTGAAATAAATAGATTTCAGTTTGCTTGACCTTTCTATTTAATTACTCTCTATAGAACATTGCTTTTCTAGCCAATTGAAAGGGCATTTTCTCCTTTGTAACTTCACAGTTCTACCTATCTTTTAAGTGTCTACCCAGTTCATATCTTCTGAATTTTCCTACCAGTTCTACTCTGCCACTTTATGTAAGGCATTTCTTTATGTTGTATCAGTTAACAGACATTCCAAGCTATACAGAGTACTAGCTAATAGAGTTACGAGACAACTGAGATGGGGATGGGAATAGAAAAGAGGTGGCCTTGAAAACTACGGCTAAAATACTTCTCTAGCTATTAGGGCTGCAATCAGACAGTGGGAAGCTTCTTCCTTTCAGATATATTCCTCAAAATAAATGCCATCCGGCCTCATTTTATAATCCCATCACCTCATAGGAGTATACTTTTCTTTCCCAGCAAGATTAGAGGATTCTTGAGGGCAAGTATCATGCCTATTCCTTCACTATTAGCATCCAGTTTAGTGTTTCACACAAGAATAAAAATTTATTTGAATGCATTGGTTGGAATTTTGACCATGTGGCTGAGTCTGCATGTTTCCTTTGCTTATAACTTTCTGATTATCTGGCAGTGCTTGTCCAAATTTGAGATCCTACGAAAAAGCATGAAGATACACCTTGAAGGCTCATAGTCTGGCTTCTGCCTGATTCTCCAGCCACATTTCTTAGTCTATTTTCTCTCTCATTTACTGTGCTCTCACTACATTGTTTTTTTCTCAGTACTTTACGACATCTAGCAATTCCTGACTCAGAGCCTCGGTACTTACTTCCTTTGCCTACATGGGACAGAGTATGGTTGTTGCTTCTTAACTCTGAGGTCTCAGATCAAATGATAATTCCTCAAAGATGACTTCCTGGTCACCTGATTAAAGTCCCCTATTGCCTCAACCTGAACCAAACCATGCTCATCCCCATTACTGTTTTTACTTTCTTTATAGCACGTACCTGTACCTGAAATTATCCTCTTAGTGCTGATGTGTGTGTATATTGCCTGTCTCCCCACGCTAGACTCTAAACTCCACGAGGGCAAGGAACTTTGTCCCATTCAGAGCAGTGCTCAGAACACTGGTTAAATGGATGGATATTTGAGTTGTCACCTTGTGTGCCGTCTTGAAAACAATTTGTAGTGAACACAGTATTTCAAAGTACATAATTTTAAACTGATTCCAGTAAAAATGGCATAGAAGATGAGACTACAAAGATGTTTTAAAAGAATAAACAGTGCATTAATTTTAATTTAATGCCACCCACTGGGAGTATAAGTCATAAGATTGACTAATAAACAGCAAAAAGAAAAAGAGTGACAATATCTTGTATATAATGATAATAGCTAACACTTACTGAGTACTTACTATGTTCTAGGATTTGTTTTAAATAATGAACTTAAAAAACACCTCATTTAGTTCTTATAACAAGTCTGATATAGGTATGCCATAATTGTCTCCATTTATGGATGATGATATTTAGAACTGACATTAGATGAGGAGTCATATAGGTTGATTGGCCTGAAGTTATAAAGCCAGTGACTGGCAGAGCTGGGAATCTAATACAAGCAATTTGATTCCAATCTGTGTTTATAACCACTGTGCTCTATTGTCTCATTTCCACTTCCAGAGTACAGTGCTTATTCACTTTAGTTCTCATTTATTTATCAAGCAGACCTGGAATTATTCTTTTGCATATAGTTTTACAACTATGTAATTTAGAATAAAGAATAATGAACTTGAGGTTGAATTTTAGGTCCAGGTGTGATATTAATATATGAAAACATCAACCTAACTTCTTCCAGCCTCAGTTCTCAAATACGTAAAATGAAGGAGTATTTGAGCCTTATTAAAGATAAATTAACATTTTTCCCCCCGTGTTGTGGGAGCCCTGAGCACCATGCTGCTGCTAAATTTCAGAATATTGTTAAGAATATTAATCCTCACCCAAGGATATTTTCCCACTGAATTTTTGAGAGAGTGGAAGGGAGAAAGAAAGACACACAGAGAGAAACATCGATGTGAGAGAGACACATGGACTGGCTGCCTCCTGCACACATCCCAACAGACAGAGGCAGGGATGGATCCTGCAACCAAGGTGCATGCCCTTTACCGGAATTCAACCTGTAGGCCGGACTCTCTATCCACTGAGCCAAACCAGTTAAGGCTTAGGAATATTTAATACATTACCTGGACTTTATTCATCTCCAGTTTGTTCTTATCATTGGCACTCTGGTTTTGTTTGCCAGCTCCCTTTTTCCGGGGGCCTTTTCCGAAGAAGATGTAATTTACAAAGGCGTATTCCAGCAGAGCCAGGAACACAAACACAAAGCAACCCATCAGGTAAATATCAATTGCTTTGACATACGGGATCTTTGGCAGGGTCTCCCTGAGGTGAGTGCTGATGGTTGTCATTGTCAGCACCGTGGTGATTCCTAGGAGATGGAAAGATACAGCTTAGCTGAATGCACTTGTTAAGTTGTCCTTTTTAAGATTGAGAAGACAGATGCCATTTCCTTATTGAAGCCCGAGAATGATGGCAGTAATGCAATAAACCACTGGGCAGAAAGGGCAAACATTTTGAAAGACAAAACTGCAGACTCCCTACATAGTCCATGAACAAATCATAGAGTGGGATGTGGCACTAATGGAGAGTTAAAAACCATTAAAAATAATGCACCAAGAAAAAGGACAAGTGGATGGAAAGGCATATCAAAATCCCATTGATATGCCTACTGACTAATGCCCAATACCCCTCATTCTATTATATGTTACATCTTTCTTCTTCTTTCAGCATCTTATCTCCCTTCTAAATCTGTTTTTGTGATACTAATCCCCACAGCAGCCACTACCAAGCTGCAAGTTGGTGACCAGTTTGAGGAAACCTACCTCATTCCATGAATCTGTAATGCACCTAGATCACAAGGTCAGTATTACATTTTAAAATAAACTGATAGAGACAACACTAAAAGAAGAAGCATATAGGAAAGTTATGATTTTCATTAATCACTTGATTTATGTATTTTTTAGCTATAATAAAATCTTGTTGCATTGGATTTTCAAATATTACCTCTAGTTTCTTGATTCCAGAACCTAGAATGAATTAGTTCCTTGGAGCCAAGAAAAGACTTCCTAAAAATTTCAACTTGGCTTTGTTAAAGAAGTTTAAGGCTGTAAGATCTTAAAGGAAAGATTTCACATTACCAACTTTGTTAAATATAGCATTCTTAACCATATAATGTTGTGTGACTGTACAATAAGTATTTGGTATTAATGAAATGGTAATTGGAAAAACTAAGAAGTGCAAAAGAGGTTGGAATCTCATGTACATAGTTTGTGCTGTAATACTAATATTACACATTTGTATAGTGTTTATAGTTGTTTATGAGTTATCTTATTTGGCTGTTATAAGACCTTGCTGAGTGCGATAGGGCAGGTATAGTATTTCCATTTTATAGTTGAATAAAGATAAACTCTGAGATTATTTTGGTGTAGATCACACAGCTAGGGACAAAAAAAAGCAAGGAGCTGTTAAACAAAGGCATTTAAAATAAAAGCAGAGATAAAAAAACAACACCTGAAACTTGATGGCAGTCCTTAAAAATAAAGACAGAAAATATGAGTTGAATATTACAGACAAAGGAAAGCTGGCAACAGGTATGGAAGGTAGAAAATGAAAAGGGAAAAAAATAGTTTAGTAATCATTTGCTAAATAGATTATTCTAGATAGATTCCCTGATTTGACTATTCAACATTAGGAAAACAGATGAAGTATGAAGTCAAGACTACCATACAAAAAGTTAAATTGGCTTAGATGGGTGATGAGCTCAATTGTGCTGCAATGATATGAAATACCATCATGAGTGGTCTTACTTTTGAATAAAATTTTAAGTTTCACCTAATATAATTCTAGCTAATAACAAACAATTCATTTACAAATCCACTAATTGTATTTCTATTTTCACTCCTTGGTTTAAATTTTTAAAGCAAGATGGGTTAGTAAATGAATGTTTTTTCTAGTTAGATAAGTATTAAAATACCACAGGTTTTACATCTCAAAGTACAGGTTAAGTCAGCATATTTATATGCTGATATCTCTAATCAAAATATCATTAACTCTGAGGATAGAAGTGTAGGGAAAACCACAATTTATGGCCTCGGTAGTTGTTATTCCCCACTCTGGACATCATTCAGTGAGTTTTCCTTAACCATAGCATACATATATTCATATGCACATTAAAGTAACATGCAGCTACATACATATGATGTAATAAACTATTAGTTTACTTTTCTTAGTCTTGGAATATTCAAAGGTTAATAAGGGACTGTCAGCACTTGACTTAATAAGGGACTGTCAGTACTTGACTTTATGAGCTTTATGTACCCAGCCGTTAGAAATAAACTGGAGAGATGACAATTAGTCTAGGCATGATAGGGTATCTGATCATCTTACCAGTTCAGTAATCTCGGAAGAGAAGAGATGTGTGTTAGCTTAGCCAGAAATTATGCTCGTGTGTGTGTGTGTGTGTGTGTGTGTGTGTGTGTGTGTGAATAAGCCCCAGAAAGTGGTAATTGAAATGGCTCTATGATAAAACAATGAGACAGATCCACATATTCTCAGATTCATCAAACAGACTATACATTCTAACTTTCCAAGGAACCATTTAAAGTCTCAAATATAGCCTTACAGCTTGCAGCAACTACTCAACCATGGCAAGATTAATTCTGAATTTTTTCCCCCAGGGATGGAAACCATTTTCATTCTGTGCTGATCACAGAATAGAGCTGTGAATGATCTGTGCCCAGCTCATTACTATAGCTGATGAATTATCTGTGCCTTACTCAAGTATGATGAGCTCCATTAAGGGAGACTCAGACCAATAAGATTTAACTTCAGTTAATGTTCGAGAGAGGGTATTTCCCAACATTCAACATAGCTTGGTAATAGTCATGACATCTATCTTTCTTCAAATCCATTTGAGAATAATGCACTGTAAATATTCTCCGCTGCAAAAAGTAGGGACTGAAGAGGAAATCATCACACCGCTAGTAAAAATTAGTCCAATAAGAATTTAAAAAATATACTCTAAGAAACACTTACATAGTATTGAACATACTCCAAGATCCTTTTTTAAGAGCAGTATTTTTAACAAAATGCTGAAAAGGTACGGCATTGTAAAACATTCACTCTGTAAGAGCTTACACTTAGGTGCTTTATCATCAAGGACTCTTATGTTAGTTGCATTCTTTGGATTGCTATGAGAGAAGATCCTTGTCTATAATTCCAAACACTGGTTATTTGTTTAAAGCTAAACCCCACCAGCTCTCTGTGGTGCTAGCAGTGCATTACCTAGTGCGACTCTGGCTGCAGAAGCATCATAGTTGATCCAAAAAGACACCCAGGACAGAATTGTAATCAGTGTGGAAGGCATATAGGTCTGCAAAATGAAGTAACCGATGTTTCTCTTTAGACGGAAACTTAGTGATAGTCGTGGATATGACCCTGAGTTGAAAAAAATAAGAGAAAGAATCAGATCATCACTTGGTTGAAAACATCTTCTTTCGTTCGCAGTGCCCTAGTTTATTTTGGAGGAAACATCCTCACCAGTTGTGAACTCCACCTTCTTGGACACCATCTTGTAGTCGACAATTGAAAACTGAGGAAGCTCAATTTTATTTACTCCGGTTACTGCTCCCTCTCCTCCATTCCAGTAAAACTCGATGTCATCAGTAGTATAGCCATCTGAAACCAAGAATACAGCATAGTTAAATATAGTCCAGTTGGTCTATAGTGGTCGGCAAACTGCAACTCGGCAAACCGCGGCTCTTGAGCCACATGTGGCTCTTTGGCCCCTTGAGTGTGGCTCTTCCACAAAATACCGACTTCTGTGCATGGGCCACGAAGTTTTCAATCGCACTGTACGTGCGTGCCTGCATGTGGTATTTTGTGGAAGAGCCACACTCAAGGGGCCAAAGAGCCGCAGGTGGCTTGCGAGCTGCGGTTTGCCGACCACAGGCTAGGAGTTCATTTGAAGACTGGGAGCTGAAGACACAATTCCCAGCAAGTGATGGTAAGATGACTGTGCTTTAAATCAGGATTCTAAGTAGAGTTGTAGTGAAATGCAAATTTCCCCCAATTCTCATTATTCTACAGCTTAGGCTCATCAGAAGGGACTGAGTGCACTGTGGCCGAGATTCTAGTAGAGATGAGCCATGCCTACGATGCTGTTCTTTTTAGAGAATCGAATGGACATTAGTGTGATGATGTGACTGTGTGATAATGGACGCCCTGGTGGAAGAGGTGGGCCCTGTCAGAAAGGCATAGCCTTAGGAACCAGCAGCTGGGACCAGCCTGTGTTTCTATCCACTTAACTCAGATCCACTGAGTCTGCTCCCTGCCAGGATGAAGGAAATGAGCTTTCAGGATCATTTGGACCTTTCCCTCTTCATAGCCATAGAAGTGCCTTTCTATCACAGAATCAGATCAGTTAAAAAATTCACAGTCCATGAGTTAGAAACAAACCAATTGGCCTGGAAGAAGAAGTGCTGGTGCCAGGCCTGGGGGAAGTTTCTCCCATGGACCTTTTTTGTAGGATGAAAAATGCCCCAGCATCATCCATTTAGGAAGCTGGCATGAGAAATAAGCTTTTTCAAAAAGATGGATGGAATCAACATAGAGTTTAGTTTTAAAAAATCCTTTAAGAAGCCAAGACAATATATCCAAAATTTCAAGTTGTCTTCTTGTCCGGCTTGATCTGAGTGTGGATTTTTCACTAGCCTGTCTCATACCCTTTGCTCACCTGTATGTGGGCCTGGGTGGTCTTTCATTCAGGCAGGTTTTTGGCAGGCTCCTCACCTTGCACAAATGAATAGCTCACCTATTCTGAGCTAGACTGAACACGAGTTTTCTTTTAGTTGACAACATAGAATATTTGAATTACAAGTATTTTTTAGGGAGAAAGTTCTTAAACCCAGTATCTAGCAACTCTCTGTGGAGAGAAACATTATTTATAGATCAAAGCCCAAATACCAACCTTTGCCCTCATCTCAGTTTGGGGCTGGATTCATTCACCTATAGTTTTTGACCTCATTATGCCTGTCATTAGCTTGATGATGATCCTGGGTGTCCCCTCTCTAGTAGGCAGCACACACACAGGGCTGATAGAACACAACTTCTATATGCTTCCCAGGAGAGGCACCTGCTTGCTTACATCCCCTTCCCGCGCCCTCTAATGTGGGCTTTGCTGACTCTTCTATGCTGCCATGGACAACTCTGGACTCAGCCTCTTGTCTTCCTAGACATCCACCAGGACTCCTGCTGAAGCATACAACACCACCACCTTTAAGCTGGCAAGGCAAATGAATGGAAATTATACTCGATATTCCAGTACACATATATTGAGTGCCTACTATGTGTCAAGCACTATCTAGGTACTAAGCATGTAGAGTGTCTAGGAATAGACCTAGTTCTGCTTTCCAGGATCTCATGATCTAACAGCAGTCTCAGCAAATTATCGACCTGAGGGAATTAGAGATGGCTTTGCAGAGGGTTTGGCCAGATGGCTAGAGCAGACCTGCCGGCAGAGAGATTACTTATTACATAGAGTAAATAACATAAAGGAAGCTGATGTCAGTGTCAACCTGATTTACTTCATAAAGTTTATTCAGTAAGCAATTTAATGTTAGCAGGAAAACGGAAACTTGCAGGGCAAAGTTGAATACATACAAACACTGTAACATCCTTAAAGATTTCAGTATGCAAAGGTAAAACTGAGCTGAGAAGGATAAAATAATTAGGTAGCCATTGCCGGGAGCCGGTCCATGCTTGCTGTTTCAAGGGACCTGGCATATATGGCATACTGTTCTTAATATGTTTGCTCACCTTCTTGGCACTATGTGTTTTAACCAAGGTCTCTGAGAAAGGGTGTTTCCCCAGGTAGGGATTTTCCCCTGAAGTTAGGGAGGGAATAAAACCTCTTAACTAAGTGCCAGGTGGGTAATTAATCACTTTAACTACGAACAATCGTGCTTAAGCTACATAATCTTTACTCCCTGGAATGAAGATAAGAAACGCCCTAACCTTTGTAATAGAGATTGGTAGGATTGAATCAACTGGTATAAATACAGATGTAATAAGACAGCAAGACACAGAACTTAGAACACAGAACTTAGAACACAGAACTTAGAACACAGAATTTAGAACACAGAACTTAGAACTCAGAACTTAGTATACAGAGCTTAGAACACAGAACCAAGAGAGACAGAACCTAGGCACAGAACCTACACAGAACGTTCTCTAGAGACAGAAGAACTTCGCTGGAGAGAACATGGCAAAAGTTCCTGGACAGAAACTGGCCTCAGAACCTAGAGACAGAACCTAGCGAGAGAACATGGCAAAAGATCCTGGACTGAACCTGACTACAGAAATTGGCAAGAGAACCCGACTAGAACCTGGTGACTGAACCTGGCTGGAGAACCTGGACAGAACCTGGCTGGAGAACCTAGCAAGAGAACATGGACACAGAACCTGGCTGGAGATCCAAACCAGAACTTCACTGGAGATCCTAAGCAGAACTTCGCTGGAGATCCAGACCAGAACTTGGCTGGAGATCCTGGCTAGAGATCCTGGCTAGGCTGCTGATCAACTGAACGCTGTCTCCGTGTCCTTCCTTCTTCGCCAACTCCGTCCTCACCTATGGGGAACCCCTGGACCTGCTGGGGCTGGACCCCGGCAAGCCATGACGAAGTGTAGGAAGAAGTGTGGACAGATACCCAAGGCAACTAGTCACAGCCCTTCTTGCCCACAATTGCCTTTTATCACTTAGGCAATGTGCTTGCCTTGAACAAAGCACAGAACCGGGATAAAATGGACACATATGTAATACCCTTTGTAATACTTTAAGCAATAAATTAAAAAAAAAAAAAAAGCACAGAACCATGCTGAATTTTACTTGCTTTATCTGTCTTTCACCCACCAGGCTCTGAGTTCCTTGATCAGGGATTGGTTCTCATTCCTTTCTATACCTCAGTGTCTATGTACCAAGCTCCTAGCATATGGTGGTATCCAATAAAAGTATGTAGAATATTGCATTCTTGCTTCTCATCATCAAGACTCCCGGCTTTGTGTTACCAACCTTAACTTTACAACCAGGCACTAACTTATGTACATGTCTCTACTCATTCAACGAGTAGATATTTATTGAGTACTGAGTAAGTGTCAGATGGTGGAAACATCCTGGGAGTATAAAACTGGCCTGGCTCTTGTCCTCTTGGAGCCTGCAAAGAGTATCTTAAATGTTATACATTTCACAAAATTCCTTCCATGGTAGGTATCTGTCTGGACTGGCTTCCGTTAGCATGTTCTCATCTCCTTTAGGAAAGATAAAAACTACAGATTCCCTTGCAACTATGGTTGTGGATATGATTTAGGTTCCCTGGATCATACAGAATTAAATGATGTCAGAGGTGGTGTTGGAGGCACTCATTTGTTGGTGCAACTCCTACAGTATACGTATCTCTGGACCCAGGAATTCTGGTTTTAGCTTTGGTGGTCCACAAGTCAACACCAGCTTCCTGATTGTGATGGAGCTATCCGTAGGACAGTCGGCACTGTGGTCTGGGAGTCATTTCCAGTGGCCCTGCCTGGAGCCTACTACTTTAGTTCTTTAATTTTGTAAGCACTACTTCTCTGTATTAAATCTCTTTCTGCTTAAGCTAGCCAAATGGACTTTCTTTATCTGCAACAGAACTGCATTCTCTCTTCTAGGGAAGAATTATTTGCTCCAGGTTTGGGATTACCAGGGCTTTAAATTGAAACCTCTGTTGTGGGGTGTGCCAGCTATTCATTTGGTGTTTCTGAATCTCATATCTTGCTTTCTACATGTTGCTCTGTACTGTTGGGCCTAGGCTCCCTGTCTCTCCATCTTCATGTTAGGTGCTGTCTTTCAGAAGAACTGGCTGGAGATTAGAAGGTGGAGGGGAGGGAAGGCTCTTGGTTCTGGCTCTGGAAGTAGTGGTGCTGCAGTTGCTTGTGATTGCTGCCAGGGCGGTGGGGTGATTTCAGACTCTCACAGCTGAAGAAGGGGCAGCACCTCTTTTTGCAAGTTCATAGACATCTAGAACAGCATCTCTCATAGGAACACAGCAGATTCAGGCCCATGGGCTCCAGGACAGGGCTATTAGCAGCTTCTGCCCTTTGCACTCTTTTCTCCTCCTTCCTTTTGCTTTTCCAGCCTTTCCTATTTTGTAACCGATTCTCTCAATTAAATTCCCTTTTGAAAAACCTTGAATGGTTTCTGCTTTCCTGATGAGATCCTGTCAAATATACAGTATATCGTAAATGCAAATATTTTATCTGTGTATATAACTGTGTTTACCTCTGCCTTTGTCATCTCTATTGTACTAGTATATTATTATTATACTACTAGAGGCCTGGTGCACAAATTCGTGCACAGGTGGGGTCCCTTGGCCTGGCCGGCGATCAGGGCAGTTGGGGCTGCAGGAGGTTGGCCAGGGGGGAGGGGCCATGAGAGGTTCCGATTAGGGCCGATGGGGCCAGCCGGCTGAAGATATGGAACATGGGAGGTTGGCCAGTTGCGGGAGGTTGGCTATGGGAGCACACTGACCACCAGGGGGCAGCTCCTTCATTGAGTGTCTGCCCCCTGGTGGTGCATGCGCATCATAGTGACCAGTCGACAGGTTGGTCATTGGGTTGTTCTGTTGCTTAGGCTTCTATATATATGT